AGAATGGTCCAGAAAGAGCCACCAAGATCTGGGGGTACGATTTATTTCGTACAAGAGTGGACCAGAGAGAGCCACCAAGACCCGGGTGGGGTACGATTTAGGACGGATAAGAATGGATCAGAAAGAGCCACCAAGACCCGGGGACACGATTTGATACGGATACGTAAGAATGGGCCAGAAAGAGCCCCCAAATCCCGGGGGTACCATTTGCCACGGAAAAGAGTAGGCTAGAAAGAGCCACCAAGACCCGGGGGGGCGATTTGTTACGGATAAGAGTGGGCAAGAAAGAGCCATTATGATCCGGCGGTATACTTTTTTGCGGATAATAAGAGGGGGCCAGAAAGAGCTACCAAGATCCGGAATGCGATTTGTAACGTATAAGAGTGGGTCGCAAAGAATCATCCAGAGAATAGGAGTGCAAGCGACTTCTGCGCCCAAAAGCACCAATTCAGAGCCTTCATAGATTCTTAGAATCCAAAGTGGTGAGGATGTTAGGTGAAACACCTCGCCCAAGCGGCATGTGCGCCCACGCAACTGAAAGGGAATCCATAGCCAGATAAATAAGAAGAATTTCGAGCTCTCCAAGACGCCTGGACGTGCTTAAAAGCCCGCCACCACCCCCAATTACGAGGCATCCCAGAAAGACGAAAGGGAAAAGAGATTCGAAGATTCCCAAAGGTATCTATCAAACGTGAGACAAGCCATCGAAAGAAAAAATAATTCCGACGGCACAAAACGTGACTTCAAACTCCATAAATATCCATCATATTCAGAAGTTAGGCTCGATCCATGATCCTGCGTGAGGCGCATCCTGCAAGGGGTTCAAGTGAAAGAGAATATTCATGAATTACTCACATAAATCCAAGAAGGTTGCGATGGCATTAGGACCCATTAAATGTCCCATCCGAAGCATCCGTTAGGCTTCGATGGCCCTATAGAGCCCCCTCTGTAGATCGAAGTTCAAACGTTCCAAGCATTCCTGAAAAGATTTTGTGTGAAACCAGTGCAAGCGACTTCTGCGCCCAAAAGCACCAATTCAGAGCCTTTCTGAGTTCAATGCATGCGACTTCTGCGCCCAAAAACACCAATTAGAAAACTCTAAAGGAGAAACTTATATTCAACACGAAAAGAATACATGAATCCCCCACAGGAATTCAGAACAAAAATTGAAAGAGAGAGACTTCTGCCCCCAAAAAATAAATCAAAGAGGCTTATGCTCTTCCCATCCGGGAGCCGCAGACAAGTCCAACGGAATCAAAGGCCCCATGCACTCCCATTGAAAGACCCACCACCACCCCGAATTACGGGAATGCACGGAGCCCAAACAACAGACGCACCAAAGCGGCTCCAGAATTTATCAATTTGCAGCGCACCGGCGCCGCAGCCAATCAAGCGAAATCATCGCGTGAGAATGTCAGAATATCCCGCCGCACGCCGACAACGCTCGTCGACCCGACCACACAAACTAACTAACAAGTCCCGAGCCCCTTGTTCAATACCACCCAAATTCTCGAAGATGATAGGCTCGAAGCCGAGATCAACTGCAGCGCACCTCGCAGCGATAGCCGCGTGCGCGCGCTTACGCTGGGCATATTTGGACGCAGCCCGCAATACCCCGGTGGCATTAGTAGCTAAGGCTGAAGATTGAAAAGGACTGCCACAAAGAACATCCAAGAAACCGAGGTACTATTTATTACGGAAAAGAAAAAATACAAATTTCTCGTATGGAGATTTCTAATTGGTGCTTTTGGGCGCAGAAGTCGCTTGCACCGAACGGATCAAGAATACAAATTTCTCGTATGGAGATTTCTAATTGGTGCTTTTGGGCGTAGAAGTCGCTTGCACCGAACGGATCAGAAGTCTATTGTATAAGTTATGGAAAAGAAAGGATCAGAAAGAGCCCCCAAGACCCGGAGGTACGATTTATTATGGATAAGAACAGACTAGAAAGAATCACAAAGACCCGGGGTTACGATTTGTCACGCATTAGTGGGCCAAAAGGAGCCACCAAGACCGGGGGATACGATTTGTTGCGGATAAGATGGACCAGAAAAAGATTTATTGTAGATAAGAATATATTAATATAGATAATATCAGAATATCCATTAATCGATATAAGAGATCTTCCGATAATAAATGAATCAAATTTCGTCTTATTCCCATTTCTCCATCCAATATTCGATAGCTCTCCCCTCGATTGTGATTTTGACGAATCTCAAAAATAAATCTCGATGATTACAAATTCACCTAATACAGAAATATAAATCATATTTCTTTCTAAATTCGTATTTTTGAAAAACTTATATTCTTAATCATTTTAAGAGTAGAAGATCCATTTATCATTATTTGTCCTCAATTCTCAATATTATATATTTCTCATATATACGCAATCTATATATATATATATATATCCCTATAAAAGGTTACGGGCTCGACCCCTATTTTCGCTCTGCGGCCGCCTTGTCGGTTGTCCCGCCTCCTCTTCCGGTCAATTTGGCTGCTTGTGAGGGCCTTGTAGGGGGATCCGGAAAATTCCCGGAATTTTTACGCTTATTGTCTAAAAATTCTAGGAATATTGGGAATCACCCGGATCTGAAAATTCTAGGAGTTTTCGGAATCACCCCAATTGAGGTTTAGGCTTTCCGGGTTGAGGTTCCAATACAACAATGATGACGTGGGTGCCCTTTGAAAATTCCGGAAATTTTCGGGATCCCGGGTTCAGGGTTTAAGGATTTTCTCGGTTTAGGATTTTGGGGTTTAATAGAAATTGTATAGGGTTTGTGTCCGGAGTTTTGTCGAGTTTTGGGGGGTTTTGTTTTTTGTTGTAATGGTTTGGGTTTCGTCGGGCGTGGTGGGGGGTGGATGGTTTTGGGGTGCTGAGGGATTGGGGTTGAGGGGCTGCGGCTGAGGGGTTGGGTTTAGTTTTTTGTTGTAATGGTTTGGGTTTTGTCGGGTGTGGCGGGGGGGGGTGGTTTTGGAGGGCTTGAGCTGAGGAGGGGTTGAGCGGGCTTGTTGAGGGACTGGGGAGGGATTGTTGAAGGGATGGGTTATTGAAGGGAGGGATTGTTGAAGGGAGGAGTTATTGAAGGGAGGGATTGTGACGGGATTGTTGAGGGCTGAAGATTTTTGTATTTTGCGGGGTTATTTGGGGACTTGGAATCGGGATTGATATTGCGATGATAATATAGTTTATTGTTGGCATATTTGCCGGTATGGTTATTTATTAATATGGCGTAAGCTAGCGTAAGGGAAATTCTACGACCTTAGATTTGATGCAAGAATTTAGAATGTCATCTAAATGAAAAGGGGAATTCATAATATTTTGAGAAATTATAGTCTCAATGTTTTTTTATGAGGTGATTCATATAAAGAAATGGATACCGAGACACTTGGGGTTCAGGATTTCGGATCTAGAATTAAGGAATGAAAAGGCCCTAATAAAGCAATTTGTAAGTTTTAAGTTTTTGAGGATTCATTGAGGATAGTATCTTGGGAATTTACTTGTATATTCAAATTTATAGAATGATAGATCGATTTATGAAAATAGATTACAAGATATGAATCTTAAATCGTAATCGTTCAAATTCTTGCCCACCACGCTCACGCATCAGACTCACAAATATCTTTTTAGAGATCCCGAAAATACTTGGACATTTTGTTTGTCCGCACTGCTTCAGGGTTTTAGCGTATGTCTATTTCTTCTTAATAAGTGGATATATCGTCGATGGAATCGATGGGTCCCCTATAGTTTTTTCAAATTCATATATTCATATCTCTGTTTTCTATATACAAAGCATACGTATATCAATATACATATATTTATAATATTAATATCATAGAGTGAAAAGATATCATTCAAATTATAAAATGCAAGTTCTAAAATTCCCCATATCCTAAGAATTCACTCACTATTTCAAAGATTAATTTCCAATACAAATCAAATCTCCAGGCAGATTCCAAAGATTGAAAATATCCAAATATTCTAATCCAATAATCAATTATTTTCGGCGATCGTCTTTGCATCTACTCCTCTTAGAAAGTAAGATTCGAATAGATTGAGTATTATAATATACGATGCATGGTTCCGGCATGTTCCACGTGAAAATCTACGTAACCTGCGACAATTTCTTCAGAGGCCATTGTTCTTCAAACGCATCTAAGCTCGGTTTTGTCCGCTCTGAGTGTTTTTCGCCGTCTTTCTATCTCTCATCCGGCTTATCGATGGACCTCGTATCCCAACGCGTGTATTGAAACTTCAAATCCTAGATTGTGCCCTCGCCTCATCCCCACAAAGCTCATTTGCGTAGATCCAAAGCCCTAAGCGACAGCCTTAAACCACTTGAACTTGCAACGGGAGCCCAAAGTAACACCTAAACATAGTAAGGGGAGCAGGGCTGAAGACTTTATGCTTATGTGCTTCCCGAAGAGCTCAGCAGGAGCTTGAAGCTTCAGGCACACTGTGCTGCGAAGTGGTTCTATCGGTTCTGGCAGCCCGTCTTCAGGCGAGGCGCCCACCCAGAGTCTCCAAAACACTCGGTTTAGGGTTTAGGATGATTTTGCCAGGTACGCTGCCTACTTCAGGGGTTTGGGAGTCTCTGGGCACCAGTGCCAAGTTTATGTTCCTTTCCGGGCCGGTTGTCTCACTGGCTTTTGCGCAGCTGTTCACACAAAGCCGCAAGCACCAACACTTAACCCTACAATAGAAGTCCAGGCGCAGGACCCTAAACCCTCATCCAGTAAAGTCACTAATTTAATTTAATTGAAGTTGAAGTTCAACAGCCCGTTGCTCCAGGTCCCGCCCTCCGGCTCATAAGAGAGACGTGCTCTTCTGGAGACGTGCTCCAGCTTGATATCAGTTCATGCAGTCCTGGACAGGCAGCCTCTTCAAGAATGCACCGCCATTGCCCTTCAACAAGAGCACATATTAAATCAGGACACTCAGCTGATAAATTTCAGGTGTGAAACCTTTGCCAAAATTCGATTAGAATACTCTGGGTGTTCTATACACCAGCCAGCGAGTTGCGCGGAGAAGAATGTCCGCTGGAGACGGCGGACATCCGCGAACCTGCCTCGAAGAACGAAGCTCGAAGTTTGGTCCTTTGAAGATCGCTGCTCATGAACTGCTGCCGGCGCTTGCCCACACTGACGCTGTCACTGGGGCAGATATCGCTGCTAGCCACAGAGACTCCGCCCAAGCACTTTTGCTGCTGTTGCTCAGAGATCACCAGGATGATGTGGCGACCAGCAGGTCCAGAAGCACTTCGAGAGTCAGCCGGTAAGTGAGCCATTGATAGGACAACATCCAACACTTGACCAGCAAAACCAAGCACGGAGAATCTGCCAAGCGTCTTAGCGACGAAGGACGGGATCTCAGATTGACTGCTGTCGGCCATGGACTGGTTCACCAGCATCATTCTCCTGATCACGGCTGCATAAGCTTTCTCGTGCAGCAGCGAAAAGAAAGACGTGCCAATCAGCTCCAGCCCACTGAAGATGGCACCTGCTCTGGCGGTAGCCTTCTCGATGACCAGGTCTTCAAATGTGCACTGCGCCGCAGCGGCGTTGGGCATCAAGCCTATGATTGCCCAAATCATGCTGCGAACGTACTCTGAAACAGACGTGCCAATGGAACCACCTGTGCTCTGCGATGCCGGGATACTGACGTCACTACCGACGCCAACAGCACTGTTTGCTGAGGTAGCTGGTTGATCACCATCCCTTGAATCCTCTGTGATCAAGCCGGGCGCCTTGCTCCACAAGTCCACCTGGTCTGGCAGGATAACCAGACTCTCTTGGCCTTGAGCCGGCTTCTGCCTCAGTAGCTGCTCATATCGGCATCGAATCTCTGCGATCTGCTCTTCAAACTTCACTCGCTGCTCCTGCAATCTGGAAGCATGGTCACGGTATGTGTCCTCCAGCTGCACCTGGTGCTGCACCTCCTGGACCTCTATCTTGTTGAGCAGAAGATTTCGCTCTTCCTCAAGCTCCTTCTGAGTTCTCTCAAAAATACTACAAAACACATGATCCCCTTATCTTGCGGTCTTTGGTTTGGAAACTATAAACCATCAGCCCAAACCCTCAATTCTCTTGCGTGACGTATAAACCCTTCACCCCTAAAGTCATCCTAAGCCTAAACCCTGCTCTCCCTCATTGCTCCTGTGTGACCTAGAAACCCTTCACGCCTAAACAAGAGCTAATGTTGCACTGTCTTTAGTATGGGCCCCCCCCCCCCCCCCCCCCCCCCCCCCCCCCCCCCCCCCCCCCCGGCAAACTCCCTGAACCCTGCTCTCCTTCACCCGTTGGCACAGAGCCGCCTCAGGGTCGCCAGCATCCTTCACGTCGCCAGCCCACGCATCATCTGAACCTTGGAGGGCGAGTTGCTTGCTCGGCTTTTTTAAGGCTTACGGCGTTTACGGTCTCAGGGTTTCGGGTTTGGCGTTTCGGCTCTCACACTCGCGCGAGGCAGGCAAGGATTCGGTCGGACTGTTCCACAACAGCCACAACGGCGACTATCCTAGTACTCGGTTTGCTACATCACTCATCACTCTGGGCATTGTCTCCTCTCGTAACGAGAGGGCTTTGTTCGGTACTCTTCAACCACTCCACTCCCAACTTACCCGGCCAAAGGTGTCTAGGGCTTTGGGGATTTTGGGGTCGTAGGATATTGCTACCGTACTGGGCACTGATAATCAATGCTAGTCAGAGCAACACATGTAACATGAGCAGCTCAGAATCTCATTAAACAACTTATCAGTCCTAGCGACAATAACACTCTGCTTTACTAATGCTGGCCACCACGACCAGCAGGTTTGCCATTGCTACGAATACCAATCTTACCAATAGGACGACTGCTGCTACCATTGACAATGCGACATACATTTGTATGGCTTCTACATGCTACCAGCATAGTAGGGGGTTTGTCAAAACCCAGGTCATACGCCCAACATGGCTTTGCAAATCTCCGTTTCAGGCGGAGTTGCACAGTCAAAAGCAGAGTTTACTGTTCCACTCGGCTCTATAGCTACTATTGCTCAGGCGACGGTAAGATGCCTATGGTGCCGATATTTTGAGCTTGGTCATTTGACATTGAGGCTTTATCGGCGATGCGAAGCACAACTCACCGAAGCTCATAGATTGTCCGAAGGCCTCCATGTACATGCCAACTTGCTGTGTTGTTTGCACGCTTCGCGACAAGCCATGCAACAAGCGCGCACACGCTCACACAGCTGAATGTTTTGAGGGGGACGCAGAAAAGAAGAGTACATATAGTATATTGATAGAAACATGTGTTTTTGTAAATGGACAAGGGTAAAAAGAAAGAACGCAGCCCAAAGATTGAAAGCGACTGACTCGACCGCTGAGGAACTGCGACGACTCCGCTTGCACAGCGCAAGCTGAAGCTTCAAGGAGTTGACTTCTTGCAGCTGACGTATTGCCTCTGTCTGATGCTGCTGCAGGGCCTGGCTGACTGGGAGCTGGAGCAAAGTCTGGACTTTGATATGAGGGCACAAGCAGAGATTTAATCAAAAGAGGATCTATAACCCAAGCAAATGAAATGAAAAAGTCCTACTCAGCACTCAGGTCGCATCTTGCAAGCGCCGGTTGGAGATTCGAAGTGACTCGGCTTGCAGCTGAACTTTCTCCTGCAAGGCGACGTTCGTGATTTTGTCGGCCTCCTCTTTGTCCGTCTGCTGCTTCATCTCCACAAAGAGCGTCTCCTCCAGCCCGCGCATTTTGACTTGCAAGTCATCCACCTGCTGCAGCTGCTTGATCTTGTCCTGCTTCCCGAGGTTCTGCAAGCGTCGATTCTCTGCTGAAGTTGTTTCCTGCAGAAGTCCTGCAGCCGCCAGTTGCTTCTGCAGCTGGGCAATCTCTTCTTTTTGCTCTGCATTCTGACCAGCATGGTCATCACGCAGGTCTTGCTGAGACTTCCGCTCAGCAGATAACTCGGCCAACAGCTTGTTCAACAGGTCGTTCTGGCAAGATTGATCCGGGTTCGTAAAGTCGTCCAGATCTCCACAGTCGCTGCTGCACTCGCTGGCCAAGGACTCTGCACGCGCTGGCAGCCCCACAGAGCCTTCTTCTTCCTCCTCTTCGATCATCGCCAGCATACCCCTACCTGCTCCACGCCCTCGTCCCCTACCTCGTGATCTGCCACCTCCTCCTCCTCCCGCTCCCTGACGGGACTCAGAAGGAGACTTCGCTTGGTCGATGGCTTCCATCGCTTGCTTCTTCTTTAACCCCAACAGTTCCAGGCGTACTTCGCTCATGTCGTGTCGATTTTGCTTCCTCTCCTCCGTGAGCTCATCAATCTGATCCTGAAGGCTCGTCTCACGGGCGGTCGCGGTGCTGGCAAACCTTGAGGTGTCCCGTCTTAGCAAAGCGAGCTGGCTGTTTGCTTTGCTCAACAGATTCTCTAGCTCAAGAATCCGACTGTCGCTGAGCTCTTTGGCCCTTTCTTGATGTTGGCTCTGCACCACTTCCCGCTGCTGTGACTGGCTGAGATCCCAGCGAGCTGCCTGAAGTTCGACCTGTGCCGCAGCAGCGTTTGTCTCGTTCTTCCGGTCCTTGTCCTGGAGCTCCACCTGCTCTTCTTTCGCAGCTGCTAGAGACGAAGCAGATTTGGCCTTGTCGCCCGCTGCCTTCACTTCCACTTCATCACGCTCGTCTTCCGCTTTCTTCCTAGCCTTGACTGCATCTGCAAGTTGCGACTGCAACTCCAACATACGCTCTTGATTGAGGTTGTCGATGTCCGTGCAGTCCGATATCATCTGTGTTGCCTGAGCATCTCGTGACCGCAAGGCCGCCTCAAGCGCGAGGTTTTTGGCTTGCAAATCTTTGACCTGCTGAGTTTCCTTCGAAGCAGCTGCACCTGAGCTGTCTGAGCCGACCTGTTTGTTGGTGCTGCTGCTGCAAGGAGAGCCACTGCGGCCATTCGACCGTCTCTCCCTTCCGGAATCTGCTGCAGATCGCGCGGCTGCGGGCGACCGGGCGCCGGAATGCGGCTCCTGTGAGGATTTGGGCCGACTCCGCTGCCAAGACTCGATGTCTCTCTCTGCCGCCTCTGCATCTTGTAATCTGTCACGAGGCTGTGACTCACTGCTGCTGTCATTGGAACTTCCTGTACCACAAGGCTTCGCATGCGACTCTGACTCTAACGATAACTGCCGTGACTGCAGGCCATTGGCCAATTCTCGCTCTTCAGGCGATAGGGAGCTCCAGCTTCGTGCAGAATGGACAGACCTTCCAGACACGCTGCTGGTCTTGCTGCTTCGATCAATGTCCGTGCGATCCATGCTTGCAACGTTGGCAGCTATGGACTGGCTTGAAAACTGTTTCAGTGCTTGCAGTGCTCCTGTGGTGAGATCTATTGAATTGACTTACACTTCTCAAACTTCTTTCGCTTTTATGCTGCTTGAAAAGAAGGCAATATGTGCGGACCCAGATGAGCCGCGGGACAAGGACACTGTAGCCCATGAGCATAAATCTCCATTGGAGTCTCAATGAACCCCAAGAAGCTTGCCACATCTGTGCGGGTCATCACAAACGCCAGCAATTGCTACGACCATGATCGTGGGCAGGGTGGTTGTGTTGACGATTTGAGGCACTACTCTGGCCAAGACCAGTGATGTTGCAGACATGGCGTGTAGATGGGAACGATGGAGCTAGCAATGATAGTGGTGATGGCAGATTGCGATGTTGATGATACTGCTCGTGATGATGACGATGATGGTCGTGGCGATGGCGGTCTGCTGGTGACGATGACGGTGATGTTGATGATGGTGACGACGATGATGACGAGGACCAGGCCGATGGCGCTGGGGCTGGTGGTGGTTCTGCTACTAGCGACGACGGTGAGAACGGTGTGTAGATGGCGACAATGGTGGCCGTGATGACGAAGTGATGTTGGTGAACAGGCTTATGCTGCTGCTGACGGTGATGATGGTGTCATGGCATGGTCCTGGAAGTCGCCGTGTAGTGAGCAACAATGTAATTACTGGAACAAGAACTACCATTGTGGAAACAGTAAAAATCTCCCCGAATCCCTAGGAAGCTTACAAAGCTGGCGGGCGCTTCTCAGGCGCACGGCGTCTAGGGTGCACACTGCTCGAGTCTCGGGCGCACGCAGAGTGGTTTCCAGGAGGCTTTAGGGTGTGCCGGGCGCGAGGTTCAGGGGCTGAGGGGCTTTTAGGGATTGGGTTTTTTAGGGTTTGGGGTTAAAGGTTATTAGGGTTTAGGTTTTAGGAGTTTATAAAGTTCAGGGGTTTAGGGTTTAGGGGTTTTAAGGGTTTAGGGGTTTTAGGGTTTAGGGATTTCAGGGTTCAGGGCTTGTTAGGCTTTAGGGTTTTTTAGGGCTTAGGGCTTTTTTAGGGTTTAGGGGTTAGACGTTTTTGGTGCTCTGGGGTTTTAGGGGTTTGGGGTTGAAGGGTTTCTTGGCTTTAGGGTTCTGTGGCTTTTAGGGTTTAGGGGTTTTCGGCTTTAGGTTTCAGGGTTTTCAGGGTTTAGGGTTGAGGGCAGGCTTTAGGGTTTAGGTGTTTTTAGGGTCTGGGGGTTTTGGGGTTTGTTACGGGGGTCCTTAGCTAGGGTTTAGGGGTTTTTAGGGTTCAGGGGCTTTTAGGGTTTAGGGGTTTTTAGGGTTAAGAGGTTTTCAGGGTTTTCAGGGTTTAGGGTTTAGAGCATCTAAACCCTAAACCCTGAAAACCTCTAACCTTTAGAGGGTTTTTAGGGTTTTGGGTTGTGGGTTTTTTGGGGTTTAGGGTTTAGGGCTTTTTAGGGCTCAGGCTTTTTTAGGGTTTAGCGATCAAAGGGTTCTTAGGGTTTGGGTTTTGCTCTCTTTTTTAAAGGGGGTTTTCAGGGTTTTGGGGTTTTTAGCGTTTGGGGTCAAGGGGTTTTTAGGGTTTAGGGGTTTCTAGGGTTTGGGGTTTGTTAGGGTTTTGGCTTGTTTTTTTGAAAGGGTTTTTGGGGCTTAGGGGTTTTCAGGGCTTCGGGTTTTTTCTTAGGGCTTAGGGGTTTTTAGGGTTTAGGGCTTAGGGGTTCTTAGGGAGTATGGTTTAGGGGTTTTCAGAGTTTATGCTTCAGGGCTTTTAGGGTTTAGGGGCTTTCAGGGTTCAGGGTTATTGGCTTTTAGGGCGACCACCCTAAACCCCAAACCCTAAACCCTTTTGGGGTTTAGGCTTCAGCCCGCTTTGTCCTGCGTTTCACCCTTCTGGAAGACTCCGCCGTCCCAGGCTCCGTGGCAGGGTTTGGGGCCCTGCCTCGAGCAGCCGCTCCAGCAGCCACTCCTGTCTCCAAATACCGGGTTTAGGGTTTAGGGTTTAGGGGCGTAGGGTTTAGGGTTTGGGTTTAGGGTTTAGGGTTAAGGCTAGAAGAGAAGCTGGCTGTTGTTTGTGATTTCTATGTCTGTGAAGCTTTCTGCTGCGCCGCTATGCAAGCCTTGTCAACACCCTGCGCCAGCAAGTTGCAAGGACGGCAACAAGTGCGGGGGTTGATTTAAATTTGTTTAGCCACTAAACTGAAACAACCATATCGAAGCAACGAAGCTGCGATAGACTTCTTGCCTTCTTGCGACGAGTCCAACCCAAACCCTTCATCAACAGAAAAAGTTCTCCTTGAGGCAGTGATGCTCCCCGGCGCGACGCAGCGGTCGGCCTGTGCCAACACCAATCTGAGCCGGACCAGGGCCCGAGATTTCAAGGAATTCCATCGAGTCGCTCCCTTGGCTGTTCAGTCTACGCCGCCTAAACCCGAAACCCGAAACCCCAAGCCCTAAACCCTACTACTGCCTGGCAGTAGTCGCTAGCGCACCTTTTGTGACCTGCCGAGAAATTCACAGTGCCTCAGTCCCTTTGGCCAGCCTTCGATTTTGCCTCAGCCCTGCACACGAGTTCACAGTAACTTCTCACCTTCCTGGACACAAATTGACAAACCCTGAACCGGCAACACCCTGAAACCATAAAAATGTTCCGATGCCGGCCAATAGTTCGTGGTCAGTAAGTAGTAAATAACAAATCCAAGAAGTAGTACGTGGTAAGTAGACAATATGTAGGTAGTAGGACCTGGAGTCTTTAAAGATGTAACGCTCTGTTTTTGTTCAGCGCCTTGTCTGAAAGGGGCACGTCACCGCAGCCATGCAAGTGGCTATATGGGTGGAGGGTGGCCAACGAAATCACTGGTTTCGTCACCCAATCCACTGAAGCATAACCCACCACGTCATGAGGTTGAGCAGCTCCTCGCGCCGCAAAGCAAAGTCTGCATAACTCATATTCCAAACCTCATGACTCTTCAGCGGTGGATGCAGGGCTGGGGCCTGGGCTGGGGCCCGGCGTGGTCGCCGCCGCAGCACGGCCACCCCGAAGTCGAAGTCTCCCACCGCCACATCCAAGTCCGCACGCTGGCGCAAGGCCACCACGGCACGGAAGACGTCACCGGTCCAATGGAAGGCTCCAAGGCGCTGAGGGCTCGCTTGAGATGCAGAGTTCGGATTACAGTCGTGCATGACTATGAAGCCACCCGGCTCTAAGACGTTCAACGTGTTCTCGACATCACGCAACGCCTGCTGACCAGTGTGCAAGCCATCGACCAACACCAGGTCGAACTTCTCGCCATTGACCCTTGAAGAGAAGTATGCATCACTAGTCATTTCAAGTGTACCACCGGGACGTGGGTCGACGCACTCGGACACGTGAAATCGTTGCCGAAGCGACGCAAAATGACCGCCGTCGTCACAACCGATCTCCAAGTATCGTGCCAACCCAAAACGCTGCTGCAAATAAGAGAGAACTGAAGTTCTGGAATGACCGCCTCCATGTTTGGTGGACCATGGCTTCTCCACACCCGCATGGTATGGCAAATTTGTTGAGACGAAGTCCAACACAGCTTCCGTCCTCCGCAAAAGTCCCTGCTGCAAAGCGAAGGAGCGTACAGCTTCCGTGGGCGAGGTGCCTTCCAGAAGGGTCAGGCGTGAAAGGCAGCCATCATAGTCTCGGACCTGAACTTGAGAACAAGCGGGCTTAGCCAGACCAATCTGGAACACGCCAATTTCCAGCATACCAAGGCCAGATTTCAATCGCATGAATATTAGATCCTCACTACGGCTATGGAATGGCCAGCCTGGCAGGTCCTCGCACGTCGAATCGGGCGATTCTGGTTCCACAGCGAGAACCTTCTCATGCCAGGCAGCGGATGGTATGCGACCATCCAGGGCAGGATGCCGAACATCAAGGATGAAGGACGCCCGCTGGTCGCCAGTGTGAAGCAAATCATGCTCGTAGCTTTCATCAAACCAAAAACATCTGTCCTTGACCTCAATTTGCATGGAGGCACCATTGAGGCACCAGACAACTTTGGAACTGGCAACAATTGTGACAACTGCGGCTTCTTGCTTACAAAGAAACACAACAAATTCCTCTAGCAAAACCAAATTTCATAAGTCTTCCGAAAGTATCCGGGGAAATGCATCACTGAAGAAGAGTTCGCTGGCACAGAAATCGCACAGTTTAAGCGCATTCGCCATTGCATAGTGCTTCGATGGGGCGCGATGTATCCCACCGGGCCCTTCACTGTGCTCACCTGTGCGTTCATGAGCTCAACTCCCATGGCTTCGATCTTCGTCAGCAGGCGACATATATGAGGGTAGAGGCCAATATTGCAAACGGGCGTTCCATGCTCTTTCTGCATGATATAGAAGTGCCGCCAAGTGCCACGATACCAATACCCTGCAACTCCACCATCAGGAAGCGTGCGGCGTTCCCAACAAAAGCCGCTGTGATTGCAAGGTTGCAAGTTTGCTGCCAGTCGCCAAACCTTTGGGTTGTCCAATGCCCGAAGAAATTCCAGGCGAATCCGGCCACTTTGCTTTTCCACCAGCTCCTGAACAGCTCGGAGTTCAGGGAAATCTTGAAGGGCTTCCTGGTCCAACACAGCTGCTGAATGCAGATCCATGAGAGCATCCTTCGTGACGCGCTGCAATGCATGTCGCCATAAGCCCCTCCTTGCGCCACAGCGGAACACCGCAAGAGCAGCAGCTGGCTCTCCAAGCAGTCGAAGCCCTTCACCAACTTCGTCCAACACCACTGCGCTCCTTGGGCACTCACGCAAGGCCTTCAAAAGGCTGCGCCGTGCTTGAGGATCGCGACGTCCGCCTGGTGGTAAGATCCCTAAGCGTTGCCGAGCATGCAAGAGAGGGGCACGGCAAGGATCAGGCACACTGAGCGCCATGCGCACCGAATTGGTTGGGTTGTGGCATTGAGCAAGAATTGTCTGAAGTCTCACTTGCATGCATGTCCACACAAGTGCGCAACACGGGTACATTACAAGAGGCTTGAGACAATCGTCCCGATGTCAATCAATGTCAGGTGAACTGCCTGGCATGCTGCATAACGTCATTGCTACTTCGTCCACATTACAGGTCCGCTGGAGCCAACGAATCGGTGTTGAACATGGATCGACACAGCGGTCACAGCAAAGAAACAGAAATGGTAGTTATGGCATGTTATGGCTGTGTTGATTGACGGTGCTGCTGAGGAGCTGCAGCTTGGCTACTTTTGGCCTTACTGTTTGCTTCGGTGGTGCCCTGGCTCACATGCAGCCTGCTGACCTCCACCAAACCACTGAACTGACCACGTCCTCTCTCATCTCTCTTTCTGGGGCCAAAGCCCAGTCCATGCTGCAAGAAGGCATGAAGGCATCGTAGTTGCCAGACTGAGCAGTCTATCAAAAGCACATGTCTAAATTCTCACAATGACACGTGAATACATGGCAGGTCGACAGGCCGAGTCAAGCCCTCAAGCACGCCCAATAGAAAACAGAGACAGCCAGGGATGATCTTTAACTTTACGTTGATTTGCATGAGTTGACGGTGGCGGACCACTGGTAAAGGCACACAATGATTTCATGAATTCCCAAGTCATACCGGTAGTATCAGCACATCGTAAGTATCAGGTTCGCTATGTTACGGCTGTTTACACTATCACCTCCGACAGTGTGGGCTCCTCTTATCACAGACAGCGGTCGGGCAGAACAGGACGTGCCCCTGATTGACAAGTTGGGCAAAAACAAGATGTCAATGCAGACTTGCTGTCGAAAGCATGGGCATCTGGCATTTACAGTTAGAGCAGCACCCCAGAAAAAAGGAAGAGTCGTCAGCACTCCTTTTTCATGTTATAGGGTAGATCAAAGATCGTGCAGAGTGCGTCGACGGAACGGCTGTTGCATTGCCAGCATACGGAGTCAGGGGATCAAGTAAGCTTGTTTTTGAAGACATTCCTCCGCCGCCGCACGAGCATCAAATGCCAACAAGCTGGAATTACAGGATGAAGTTCGCCTCGGCTTCCTGCCGAGAAGCGATTGGAACAAGCAGACCCAAATCCGGCCCAACCCTTCCCCCCATGCCAAATTTTGTGAACCCCTGGACCCCCCGGACCCTTCTGGGACCCGTTTTTGATCGTTTTTGGAACCCTGAGGCCAGAACCCTCTTTCCTCCTTTCCGGTCCTGGGCCGACCCGACTGCCGAGGCGGCGCGCACAAGCTTTTACAAAAAGCTTGTTAACTGTTACTGTACATGAACTAGTGTCCCCTGCTCCGTCCTTGGCCTAACACGTAACAATTAGCACTCTTTGGCTTGCAGCTACCTGCTGAAAAAGATCGTATTCTGACTTCTCATGATGTGTCCGGCTACTCTTCTCGGTTTGCAGGTATGAGCCTGCGTCCATCCTGGCCCATTGGCATTGATCTATTCTTCTGCTTTCACATCGTGAAAAATGTGAAAAAAGGTTTAAATGTTGCTCAAGTTGAGCCTCTGTCGCAAACCTCGTTGCTGAAACCTGCTGATCTGTTTCTGCATTGCATTGCTTGCCTGAGGTGTGCGGCTTCAAACACAAGAAGAAAAATGTCAAGTTTCTGCCAGGTAATCAAGGCTTGCTTGTGGTGAAATCAAGCTTTGCAGTCTTGGGTTATTTGCTGTCCCAAGTAATTATGTGGCATGTAGCTGTTCCATCATGAGATTTGAACGTGATCTTCCCTCATTGCCATGCCCCAAGGGCGTTTGCCACGCACATCAGACGCTGAGCGTACTGCAGCACGACCTTCTCATCCTCATGCTGGAGATTGGCCACCTCAAGGTGGTAATGAGGACTTCATAAGGATAGCTCTGTCGATCTTGACTTGGCTGATTCTCCCAGATCCCGCAACCAAGTACGCTTCCAAAACTGGGCTAGCCAAACAACCTATGCCTCTGGAAGCTCTCTTAGGCAAGCACCTTGCATACAGTCCTGAAGCCACACCCATTTTGCCCTAGATGTCCACTGAGTGTATGTCACACGATGCCGGATGAACATCGGGAGCGCAGCCTAGCTTGGCCATTTTCCCTACTCCATGGATACTATCTACTCAGGTACTACAATCATACACGGAAAACGCTGCGTGGTATTGCCATGGCAAAACTGTACAAGTTGCAACATGGCTGAATCGGCCAGGCCACTCCAAGGTCAAAGTGCAACGATTGTTCTCGTGCTCCAAGGCCTTCAGCGTATGTCTTCGCAGGGATAGCTGACACCATGGTGCCATGTGACCTATCCAAAAAAACAGCAGGGGTACAAGTTTTGCATGCTGAACACATCGCACCCCCAGATCCATGATTCCATGCTTGCTGAAAAAACAAAGGCCTTTCGCTGCGAGGTTCCAAACATGTTTGCAGGAGCCGTACATGAAGTTATCGCCGTTATCGCTCCAACCGGCTCGCATCCGTTTCGGACCCCGAACAGCTGAAGGAGTCAACCCTGGGAAGATCGGACGAACCTTTTTCACCGAGAAAGGACAGAGCGCTGCCGAGCTGGCATCGCATACACGAAGTGCACGACCCCACAAAAAGGCCTTGCAAGCGTTGTCGAATGACGAAGCCGCATCAGAAGACAGAGCTCTCCTCGGTTCCTCTCTTTGCAATAGGCCTGAAACTTGCCGAAACGCTTCCCTCGCAGAAATATGCAGGAATGCTATGGCTTGCTATCGCTGCTCCTCCGGAGTCGGCTCGTCCAGCTTTGGAGCGCCTCGAACGCGGGTGGACACGCCGCCCGCAAAGTGCCTCGTCGCAGCATCGGCGGCCCGAGCAACAGGTGCCAAATAGGCTGAGATGTCCGAGCCGGCTGTGCGCAAACCCAACAAGGTCATGTGGAACGGCATCTGGTCATCCCGTTGAACGGGCTGGGGGACACCAGCATCTTCGATCGAGCGCAGGAGCGATTGGTAGAGCTTCATCACCGTCCTCTGCGTAGCTTCGTTGGCGACGATGATGTTGGTTATCGAGTCGACTCGCTCCTGCCAGCACTCGACTCGATCGAAGACGGCTTGGAAGTCCACGTCCATCTGTTGTAGCCACCGCCCGACGACCTCTTTAATAGTTGCCGTCTCCGTGGACGTGAGACAGCAGAGGTAGGCGAGGCTCATGTGCACGTTCCGCTGCTGCGACAGGCTCAGTGGTCCCAGGCCAAAAGCTTCAGACTCCTGGGCTTGGTTCTCGGTGAGGGTCTCCTCTGCCCCTGCGAAGGCGTGGATGTACGCCGGGTCCGCTGTAAACCGCTGCGCCATGGCCGTGTCCGTGAGGGCTGCTGCCGCCGTGGCATTGTGGATTTCTTTCAAGCGGCCCAAACGCCAAATCACCGCGGTCTTGTAGAAGTGCTCTCTCGGCTTGTCAGGCCGAAGATCCGCGCAGGACTTGGGGCAGCCGGCGAGGAAGGGCATAAAGCGAGTGCGCCGGCAAGTGCCTGGTGGTGGAGGTCGGTTCCAGTCTTCATGAGGCCAGGAGGGTCCAGACCTGCAGAACATGTTGATCAGTGTAGCACAGGTTACGATGGCTGTAAAGCCGCAGAGCACAACCCCGCGAGACCCCAGTAGATTGCGCATCGAAGCAGCGCAAGCTAACATCCTTCTCTCATGGCTTCTCGTGATTCTCATGTGCAGTCAGCCTTACCTTCTTTGGGTCGGGCTTGGGTTGCTCGGTGTAGCAAGGACTGCTGTCTTGAGAATTGGCTCTGCTCTGGGAACTACACGGACCTTTTTTGAACACTCAGACACCCAAGACTGCTCGTGGCAGCAAGCTCAAAGCTCACCCAAACCCCATCAGCCCCAAGACTAACTTTGAAGTCACGACGCATCAGGCCTGGAGGTTTCAACAAATTGAGAACCCCCTGATGCCCCGATATTGACCCGCTCCTACATCCCACACAAACATAATACGGATCTGCAGTTTTTCCGGAATCTTTACGTAGTCCGAGTCCTAACAAAAACCCACAGCAAGCCTCCTTTTTTGATGTGCTGTTTTCGGCCCCTTCTTATCTTTGGCTTCGAATCGGTCCGCATGGCCAATTCTCTGGCCCTTCACGCTGATCCAACATGAGAACTATTCTGTGACTGAGCTGCGGACCTGCGACCATCCGACACACGGTCAGGTTTTGGCTCGCCTATACACGAGCAAGCGCAAAAAGTCGGTGAAACCTTCGGCAGTATTCTCAACCAAGTGAGTTGCGAGGGGAAGAGTGTCCTCCGGACACCGCGGACATCCTAGAATCTGCCTCGAAAAACGATGCTTTGAGACTGGATCTTTGCAACTCGGAGGTCATGAACTGAGGCCGACGCTTGCCCACGCTGACGCTGTCACTCGGGCAAATGTCGCTGCTAGCCACAGAAAAATCGCCCCTGCGCTTTTGCTGTTGCTGCTCAGAGATCACCAGGATGACGTGGCGACCATCAGTTCCAGCAGCACTTTGAGAGCTCGGCAGGTGAGCCATCGAGACAACTCCATCAATGTGCCCAGTCATCCCTGCAAGGCCGAATCTGCCAAGTGTCGTAGCGATGAAGGATGGGATTTCAGATTGACGGCTGTCGGCCATGGATTGGTTCACCTGCATCATTCTTTTGATTACTGTTGAATTGCTTTTGTCTCGGAGCAAAGTGAAGAAGGACATGCCAATCAAGTCCATCCCACTGAACATAGCACCTGCTCTAGCAGTGGCCTTCTCGATGACCAGGTCTTCAAATGTGCACTGCGCAGCAGCTGCGTTAGGAATCAAGCCTATAATTGCCCACACTATGCTGCGGACATGCTCCGACACAGAACGGCCAACGGTACCTCCCGTGCTGTGTGATGCAGGGGTGCTCACGTCGCTTCCCCCACCCGTCACGCTGTGGGCGGAGTGCGCTGGCTGGTCCCACTGGTCCCACTGGTCCCACTCCTGAGCCTGAGTTGATATCTCGGCAGTCAAGCTGGGTGGATCGCTCCACAAGCCAAGGTGGTCTGGGAGGAGATCCTCTTGACCCTGAGACTTCTGCCTGAGTAGCTGCTCATATCGGGATCGAATCTCTGCGATCTGCTCTTCAAACTTCACTCGCTGCTCCTGCAATCTGGAAGCATGATCACGGTATGCGTCCTCCAGCTGCACCTGGTGCTGCACCTCCTGGACCTCTATCTTGCTGAGCAGAAGGTTTCGCTCTTCCTCCAACTCCTTTATCCGTGCACACAGGGCTTCCTCTGGTGACTCGTCGTCAGCTTGGCCAGTCCTCTCATCTCCAGCATTTCGCCTGCGTTCCAGTGCTAGCTGCAATCGCAAAGAGCTCATTTCCCGCAGCTGGTGCACTGCCTCTGTCTGCTGCTGCTGCAATGCCTGGCTGACTTTCCTATGGGAGTAGAGGAAAAGGTTATATTGTACGTAACAGTCTTTGGTTCAAAGAAGCCAGAACAGTCCAAAAACTACACTCAGCACCCCGAGGAGCATCTTGCAAGCGCAGGTTGGAGATTCGAAGTGACTCGGCTTGCAGCTGAACTTTCTCCTGCAATGCGACGTTCGTAATTTCGTTGGCCTCCTCTTTGTCCGTCTGCTGCTTCATCTCCACAAAGAGTGTCTCCTCTAGCTCTCGAATCTTGACTTGCAAGTCATCCACCTGCTGCAGCTGCTTGATCTTGTCCACCTTCCCGAGGTTCTGCAAGCGGAGATTCTCTGCTGAAGTTGTTTCCTGCAGAAGTCCTGCAGCCGCCAGTTGCTTCTGGAGCTGGGCAATCTGTTCCAATTGCTCGGCATACTGACCAGCGTGATCATCACGCCTGGGTTGATTAAGGAACTTCAGTGAAGATACCGTAGTAAGCATAGCGCATTAGCTGTTTACAATGTATCCCAACTACCATATAACTTGAACTTCTTAACGCAAGGACCCAGAAGCAGGTCTTGCTTTGACCTCCGTTCGAATGTGAGCTCGGCCATTAGCTTGTTCAACAGATCATGCTGGGAAGATTGATCCGGGTTCCTGGGTTGCAGTCCATAAGGGCTCTGCCAAGAATGTGTGAAAGAATGTGAAAAATAGGTACGTGCCCTAAGACCAGAAAGGGAAAACGATGTCAGCAGATCCCATGAATCGCCACTATTCGCCACCCAGGTTCGTAAGGTCGTCCAGGTCTCCAACGTCGCTGCTGTCACACTCGCTGGCCAAGGACCCCTCCGCATATGCTGGCTGCCCAACGGAGCCTTCTTCCTCCTCTTCCTCAATAATCTCCAGCACGCCCTTGCCTGCTCCGCGCCCTCGCCCCCTGCCTCGCGACCTTCCTCCTCCCCCTCCTCCTCCATGACGGGGCTCCGAAGGAGGCCTTGCTTGGTTGACGGCTTGCATCGCCTGCTTCTTCTTCAAGCCCAGAAGTTCCAAGCGCGCTTCGCTCATGTCTTGCCGATTTTGCGTCCTCTCCTTGCTTCATTTCATGGGAGAGTTGGGTGCGTGTACTCTTCAATACGGACATCTTAAGGGTGACTTAAAACTTTATTTATGGCACCAAGACTCTTCGATGAGCTGATCAATCTGATCCTGAAGGCTCGTCTCACGGGCGGTCGCGGTGCTGCCAAGCCTTGAGGTGTCCCGTCTTAGCAAAGCGAGCTGGCTGTTTGCTTTGCTCAACAGGTTCTCTAGCTCCCGAATCCGACTGTCGCTGAGCTCTTTGGCCCTTTCTTGATGTTGGCTCTGCACCACCTCCCGCTGCTGTGACTGGCTGAGATCCCAGCGAGCTGCCTGAAGTTCGACCTGTGCCGCAGCAGCGTTTGTCTCGTTCTTCCGGTCCTTGTCCTGGAGCTCCACCTGCTCTTCTTTCGCAGCTGCTAGAGACGAAGCAGATTTGGCCTTGTCGCCCGCTGCCTTCACTTCCACTTCATCACGCTCGTCTTCCGCTTTCTTCCTAGCCTTGACTGCATCTGCAAGTTGCGACTGCAACTCCAACATACGCTCTTGATTGAGGTTGTCGATGTCCGTGCAGTCCGATATCATCTGTGTTGCCTGAGCATCTCGTGACCGCAAGGCCGCCTCAAGCGCGAGGTTTTTGGCTTGCAAATCTTTGACCTGCTGAGCTTCCTTCGAAGCAGCTGCACCTGAGCTGTCTGAGCCGACGTTCGCCTCGCTGGGGCGGGCTTGCCTGTTGCTGCTGGAAGAGCCACTGTGCGGGTTCGACTGCCTGTCCCTTCCAGAGGTTGCAGATCTCGCGGGTATAGGAGACACGTTGCCGGACTTCGGCCGTTGCGATCTGGCTCCTTGGTACCGAGATTCGATGTCTCGCTCCGCTGCTTCTGCATCTTGAAGTCTGTCCCGGGGTTGTGACTTGTTGCTACTGTTGCTACTGCTGGTGCTTCCCTGTGACTCTAGGCGGAGCTGCTGCGACTGCAGTTCGTTAGCCAACTCTCTCTGCTCGTGCGGAAAGGAGTGCCAGCTTCTTGCAGAGGACCTCGCAGACCCACTGCTTACCCTACTGCTTCGATCAGGGTCACCACGATCCATGATCGCTTAGACTGCTACAGCTACGGACTCCGGACCACTCGTTTGCAGACTTGCTATGCCCCTGTAAAAGAAGGTTTCGCTGAATGACATCGAAGAATCGAAGAAATGTTTTACAGTCCCCATCAGTCCCCATGTCCTGGCTGTACTCGGAACATATCGTCAGAGTTCTGGAAGATTATAAAGGAAACTTCCTTGAACCGCAAGCTGAGCCGCGGGTGGTCCGAGATGCTCAAACATGTGCTTTCTTCAAACGAGCATGAGCACGCTAGAGAACATCTTATTACTCAGCAGACACGACTACCTTCAATGTGCAGCTGTCTGATGCCCCATGGTCTGCTGTCATGCTGTGTATACTTCATTCTACTTCTTTGCTTGGCGCAACTTCTGCTCATTGGCTGCTCCTACGAGTCGTTCCAAATGTCTGTCAAGGAAGGGGCGGCCCGGCGCTGCACGGTGTGGCACAGTGCAGGTGGCGCAGGCCAATGCGTGTGGGAGGTCGGGGGGGCGGTGCGATGCGGCACGGAACGGGGCGGTGCGGCGCAGCGGGGTGCGGGCGGCGCCGGATGGCGCATGCACGACGGGGTGGGCCGGCGTGCAGGTAGCGCGGCATGGCTCGCCACGTGCGGCGCCCGTGGCACGGGGGCGCGCTGAGGCCGACTGTCCTAAGGGCTTGTCATGGCTAGGTCATGTAATCCACTTGGTCAAAGACTTTGTTGGGAAGATGCACTACCTTTGCAGCTTGATGGAGGCCGCTACATTCACTACATGCCACTGGTTAATTAATTTCGACACTTCCATTCTGAGGTCAGTGCCTCGGGCGGGCAGCACTCCTGCGCCACGACCATCTGAGCACGTTCCTGCTCAGCAGCCTGCACGTCAAATTGCGCACTTTGACAGCCGCAAAGGTTTGAATATGCAGAGTCTGCGCATCCGTTGATCTGGGCATCAGGCATCCACTCGCAATCTCTGTATGAATTTCTTTTCTGGACTCAGCGGCGGACTTCGCCCGGATTTCAATCTGTGGTTCACTGCTGTGCACAAGGTCGGGTATGGATCTTCCTCTTGCGTGTCGGGTGCTGCTCCTTGTGCGCTGCAAATCGCTGCAAGCAAGAACACATGCTGCAGGATCTGTGCGGTCAATGCCTGTTGGGAGGTCTTGGTCTTCGCTGTCTTTGCATGAGAAGTCACAAGTGAGACCCGGCCGTGGATTCAAAAGGAGCGTCAGTGAGCCTGAGCATTGCGCGAAAAAGCGCGCCCCTGCGCCAGCTGTGCAGCACCCCTCTGCCGATTGCACCCGCGACTCGCACGTCAATCTCACAGCGTGACAACTACTAAAATATGTTCAGCACGAGGATGAACCTCTCAGCCCAAACCAGACCATAGCCAAAGATCCCCTGGACGAAGACTCCCTGAACCCCTAAGCGCTCAACCCCTTGCCCTTGAGTTCTGAACCTCCAAGCCCGGTCAAGCCTAAACCCCTCATTTCTGACCTTAAAACCCTAAACCCCCCTAAACCCCCCTAAACCTCCCTACCCCCTAAACCCCCCTGAACCCCAAACCCCTCTTACCCCTTGGAGCTCGCGAAGCCCGTGGCCGACAGCTTCCTGTCACCTCTACGAAACGCTGAGGGGTTGAGGGTTTCGGGTTGTATAGGGCTTAGGGTTTACGCCTTGTAAACCCTATTCCGAATTTCGGGGTGGGTTGAGGGCTCCCAAAAGCCTCGAACCAACCAACATCCTGAAGAACCCTTCCCTCCCCTCTCTCTCTACTACGCTCTCAGGCTTTAAGTCGTTACTTAAACCCTCCAAACCCTGAAGCCTAGACCATAAACCCTATAGACCCCAAACATGACATTTGGATAAGAACATCCCCCTAATATTCAAGCACATTTCGAGTTTCTGTTGGGGGGGGGGGGGGGGGGAGTGGCGCCCCGATTTAATAATCGGGTGATGCGATAAGGGGTCTGGGGTTTAGTGCAGGCTGACTAGGGCCGGATATGGGGCCAGCTCAGGGCGGTGTAGGTTCGATCAGGGTACGGTAACTTTACGTAGAAATACCAACTGTGGTAGCTGCTACGGAAAAGCTCATGTGCCACGGGTAGTTCACCCAGTGCACCTCAAGGAGTTGCAATCGCTTCTCCGAGAGTAGGACGCTCTCGAGGATTCCAAGCCGGGCAAGAGGTGTCTCTCAGTCTCTAGGAACCCGCTTCACCCAGCAATGTAAAGAACGCCACACTCAACATCAACAGAATCCCCCAACCACCCACAGATGTCCCTGGCCTTGTGGCACCCATGCCTGCATGCCTGCACACATTACCAAAGCTGTGCAGGACCCTTTTCCCCACACCACAGCTGCTTGAAATCTGCCGCTTTCTGTGACCCTGGAAGAAGCCTTGCAAGCCCCTAAATATAAACTGAAAGTTTAAACGCTTGCATGAACTACTTGGCAAACGTGAGAAAGTTATCAGCGAAACAAGCAAAAGCTTTTGAACTATATTCTGCAGGTGAGAATATATATATATATATATGTGTAGGTATATGTATACATTCATTTATCCATGTATCTACCTTCTGATTTATATCTGTTTGTTCATTTATTTACACATACCTTACGATCTTCGATTTTCGCCTCTATGCATCTTCATTGATCAAACTCAATGTCATGGATCAAATCGTTTTAATTTTCGTATCATCATATACATCTTCTGTATGATTGTGAACAGCTAGGCTGCTTGGGCTGTTGCACTGTGCCACTGAATGCAGTCAGAGGTCAAAGCACCTCCTAAATGCTGCAACTGCGCACGGACCAATTACGCATCAGGACCACGTGGGAGGAGTGCTCTCCTGGCCTGTAGGCAAACCCATGAGAACGTGGTGTAAAATCAGTTTTCTAGCCTGGCGGCCACGGAGTCTCTCTGCTTCTCTCGCTCTCTTTCTCGCTTGTTCTCGCTCTCGCTCTCAAGGTTCAGGTCACACCGTTGTATCCGATCGGATATTTTTTGCTGTGACCAAAGGTGTATGTGCAAGCAGCGCAAGCCTGGCTCTTGGTAGTAGCAACATTGAAGGCAATGGACCCTAAGGCTCTAACGAACCAGGCGCAGATGTACAAATCACGAAATGCACGGCCATGGCACGGTAGAGCTCCAGTTCCCGTACAACGATGTGCTTGTCCACCTGCCAGCCGCTCTTCAGCAAGCACCTTGCGAAACATGCGGCCTAAACCCTGAGCCTTTTCAGGATCCAAGTGCAACGTGCGATGATGGTTTGGCGTCACGTGCGTCCAAGCGACTCCACAGCAATCCCTAAGGGCCCTGGCGGGCATGGGCTTGGCAGCTCGACCGCCGCCAGCCCACTGATCAGGCCACTGAAAAGGAGGCAACGAGCCGACATTGCTCAAATCACTGGCCAAAAGCAGAAAGAACAACGGGTTGTCACAGATATGCGTTGGAATTGTCTTGACAAGCATCGACAGACAAACGCAAGGGGTACACCAAGGTTCCTTGTTTACAGACGGCATGGAGCCATGGCTGATGTGGGACTTCACTACAAGGCCACAAAAATCTAGCCCGCAACTCAGATTCGATCCTGAAAGGTGCTCGAACATGAAGGCAATCGGCGACAATAAGAGCAGAAGATGAGCATCTGCACAGTCAGCCAACAGTAATGAGCCGCTGGCGATGATCGTGCACGAAGAAACGAAACTCCAGGCAGGGTGCGAAACCAAGAAGCCGGTAATTCGAGCCTTTGACCTATCGACCTATGGAATCCTGTCGAATCCTATGAAAGTGGATGCGAAGAAACCTATGGCAGCGGCATCGTTGCACGTAGTTCCGGTGAGTGGCCAGCCTGCATGGAGATGCGTTTTGCGTTGATCCGATTTTGGCTACTCGGTTTCAAGTGTCTTCTCTTTGCTGAAGCAGCATTTGTTGCGGTGCTATTGCTGTTATAACTGCTTGCTTGCTAGACGGACTGCTTTGAGGATGTGTCTTGAGACTGCATGTGTTGGGGGCTGGACTGAATCGCAGCAATATATCGGTGTAAATTCGACGGCAAAAGGGCCACATGTAGGAGGCCGAGGTAGGGACCACCCTTAAGACTCTAAGTCTCCAGCTCATGGTGTGCTCTAGATATCACCGCCATCACGGCCACTTGGTTGAATCCTCGACATCTGCCTCCTGCCAATCGGACGATGAGCAAGCAAACCACCTCGACTGACCTCTTAACATCGTACAAGGCTTTCAAGGCGTGAGTACGGTAGCAGACCGATTTTTGAAGTCCTTCTCGCTGCTGACTTCGGGCACCTTAAGCAGCAAGTCCTGTTGGAATCCGGACTCCAACTGTTGAAATTGCAAGTGCTGTGAAGACCACTGAAGGATCACATCTGCGGCGTCCTTGTCTTTGAAGGAGTTGGGCCCTGGCCCTCGATAAGCTCATAGTGAAGGCCTCGAAACACTCCAGGCCCTGAGCAGAGACGAAGAGGGTTTGAGTTGGCTTTGGGGAAGTTGTTTGTGCCAGAGAGGAGCATGTCTGTCGTTCGCCAGATCTCAGCACGAAGCCATCGACACCCTACTCATGCTTGTTTTCGGCTGTTTCTCTGCGAGAGCCTCCCTGAAACAAGCCTAAACGACCGTCTGAGCAATCGTCAACTGAGGCAGAACGCAGTCCCCTTAACCCGCTCCACAGTGTCTCCACACACCACACAGCATGTTCTATAACCCTTAACGGTCCTTAACGTTGAACTGAACTGGAAGCGGCTAATCATTCGTGCGAATCCGAATGTCCCCCCCCCCCCCCCCCAGCCCCCACCCACTCAGACTCCCAACCACCCCCCCCAACCCCCCCACAGCCGGACAGGCAGGAAAGGGTCAAGGCAGGGCTTGTGCTCCACTGTCCTGTAAGTTAGACTTGGTAGTTGAACGGCTTATCTGAACCAGCGTCTCGGCAACTGCCCGGCCTGGACTTGAACAGCCTTTTTCCACATCGTACAGAGTCAGCCGGGGTATTGCCGCAGGTCTTCCTGCGGGAGAGAACTGCATCATGTACAAGGGTCATTCATGCCTTGAGCGAACAGCTAGTGCCTACAGCGAGCTTGTATCTTTCTCGAAGCAAACAGAGACCTCAGGCCAAGGAGACAACATGTGCGACTCTGAGAAATTATCAAAAGCTTGCGACCCTCGACCATGCTTTCCCAACTAAGCACAGCACCGATGATCCCATTGAAGCACTCCATGATATGGCAAGCTTTGCCAACAGGCAGCTTTCTGCTTGTAGTTACGCCGTATGTTGGGCCCTCACTCGAACAGCAAGACAGACGGAAGGCAAGTGAGCGTGAGCGTGACGAGTGTTAATTTGGCGGGTGTACTTGTAATCACCACCAAGGATCGCAATGAGTAGGCCACACAGGCTGGCTTGAGCCGATGTGTCAGCTGCGAGTGCAACAAGTGAGTGGCTGCCATCCACTGACATCATGGCAAGTCGCTTTTGGGCAGTTGCTTTCCGGCTTGGTGCCTCGTCGCATACTGGGAACCTTGTGTGTTACAACAGCTTGCGATCGGGTGATTTTCGGACCTACTTCTGGACAACAAGTCTGGACAACAAGTATCGGTTTTCTTGGTTTCGGACAATTCCGCCCCATACGCTCATGCTAAGAATTAACGTTGGCAGTGTGCATATGCGCTCATAGAGATCACGATCTGGACCTCCAGAGCCATGCAAAACATGCGATTGGACGCGACTCGTAACTCAAGATCCCCGGGTAACCCTCAAGTATTCTTCAAGTCTATTGAGAAACCTAGGCCGACCCATCGATTGTACCTGATGTTTATGGCTTTGGCATAATGTTAGGGTGTCTTTAGTCGAGTTTTACGATTTTCACCTTTTGTTGTTGTCATCGGACCCCCAAATATAGATCTGTTTAGACAGAGGAGCCCGGAACCTTCTGCTGATTGCTGCGA